GCTGTCCCATGGACAACTTACTGCCCACTAGAACTCCAAGGTCTTTTCTCCACGGGGCTGCTTTCCAGCAGGACGTCCCCTAATCTGTACTGGTGCCTGGTGTTATTCCTCCCCACATGCAGGACTCTCCACTTATCCTTATTGAACTTCACGAGGTTCCCTTTTGCCCAGCTCTCCAGCCTGTCCAGATCTCGTTGGATGGCAGCACAGCCTTCCTGTGGGTCAGCCACTCCTCCCAGTTTTGGATCATCAGCAAACTTGCTGAGGGTGCATTCTTTCCCCTCGTCCAGGTCGTTGATGAAGATACTGAACAAAACTGGACCCAGCACTGATTCCTGGGGAACACCACTGGCCACCTGCACATAGCCTATGACAAGCTGTTTATGTCAGAATTTATTAGGTTTGCGTATGATGAAGTTACTGTGTGTTGTTAATGTATAGGGCTCCAAAACTCTTGGGAAAGTTTTCCAGCAAAGCCAGAGAAGTATAGAGACATCTTCAGTTTCAAAGGGGAAAAAGTAAACAGAGTATTCACCACACATCTGTTTCTCAGGTCCCAGTCAGGAACGGGGAAGACGGCAACTTTCTCCATCTCTGTTCTGCAATGCCTGGATATACAGGTAATTTCATAGCACATGCTAAAAACGTTTCTTGACTAAATTGGTAGAGTCTTCATCATAAAAGCCTTAATTTTTAGAGCCTTCTTTCAGTTACGGGTGGTGAACCTCAGACTGAAAATTCCTGACTCAAAATTTCACCAGACTCTTAACAATTGAACGGTTAAATCCACCCTGGCAAAGGAAGTTCAGATAAAGTCTTGTAACTCTAGGACTTGCTTTAACAGCTGATATCTTTCACGTATTAGAGGCTTAAGTTGATCCCTCAGCAGGCAGAATTGTTCCCAAAACAGTTCTAACAGCATAAGCAACCTGTCTGAACAGTGGGCACAGATTGCACAGAATGAGACGTAGATTTTTGATTGACAAATGTTTGCTTTTGTTCTAGTCAGGAGCATTGTGTCTGTCCAGTTGCTTTTTAAGTATGGCTTGAATGTGTAGATGCTGTTGAATAAAATTACAGTTTTCTGCTGCCCAGTACCCTCTTAAATAAAGCTTAGATTGTTACTCACTTGTCACTGCCTGGGGACATAAAAATAAATATTGTGTGTTCTAAGCTAAAAGGTCAGCTTATTGTTTAATTTCTGTGAAGTGCTCAGTTTTCAAATGTAGCACTTTAAAACATTATTTTGGAGTCCTTGTGCAATGCAGTGTTTTTATCTGAAGTTCACATACAAAAATACTTGTTTCTGTTCTTTTGCAAGTATATACTTTACAGTTGTTTTCAGAAATTAGGTTGGAGTCGGAAATGAACTACCAAAGAACTGCTTGTCTGTCTTGTCAACAGTAACTTAATTAAGAGACTGTTACAGTGTAAATGCATTGTGTGAGAGCAGCGTTCTAGGTGTCCTGATTCTTGCAAACACTAGTGTTTGGCACAAAATTCTGCAATCAGTCATTGAGATGTGACATTTCAGTGTACTGCGGGATCCGTAATTTCAGTTATACTTGGTATCTGCCCTGTGATTAACTGTCATGCGATCACATGTTTTAATCAGGTTCGCGAGACCCAGGCATTGATCTTGGCACCGACTCGGGAGCTGGCTGTACAAATTCAGAAGGTAGGAGCATTAAAGAATCATCTGTAAAGCACTCGCAAGGCCTGGGGCTGATTCTGAGGTGTTGCCCAGCAGAGCTCAAAGCACAACTTCTGCTTTTTCTTTCTGTTCTTGAAAGGAGTAAGAAATTCTGATAAAGAGCTGTTGTGCTTATCTGCGTTATCTCCATTCATGCTTACATGACCACGTTGGTTAGCAGACTGAGGTTTTACACATTTACAGAATCACAGAACTATTGAGGCTGGAAAAGACCTCTGAGATCATCAAGTCCAGCCTATGTCCCAACACCACCACATCGACCAGACCACGGCACTAAGTGCCACATCCAGCCTCTCCTTAAACACCTCCAGGGATGGTGACTCCACCACTTCCCTGGGCAGTGCATCCCAGTGCCTGAGCACCCTCTCCGTGAGGAAGGGCTTCCTGAGATCCAACCTAAACCTCCCCTGATGCAGTTTCAGGCCGTGCCCTCTCATCCTGTCACTGGTTGCCTGGGAGAAGAGCCCGACCCCACCTGACTGCACCCTCCCTTCAGGCAGTTGCAGACAGTGATAAGGTTCCCTCTGAGTCTCCTCTTCTCCAGGCTGAACACCCCCAGCTCCCTCAGCCTCTCCTCACAGGACTTTCCCTCCAGTGCCTTCCCCAGCCTCGTTGCTCTCCTCTGGACCCGCTCCAGCCCCTCAAGGTCTTTCTTGCAGTGAGGGGCCCAGCCCTGCACACAGGGCTCGAGGTGGGGCCTCACCAGTGCTGAGCCCAGGGGCAGAATTACATCCCTGCTCCTGTTGGCCACACTGTTCCTGACACAAGCCAGGATGCCATTGGCCTTCCGGGCCAGCTGGGCACACTTACTAGCTCATGTTCAACCAGTTGTCAACCAGTACTCCCAGGTCGCTCTCCAGCCACTCCTCCCCAAGCCGGTAGCGCTGCAGGGTGTTGTAGCGGCCAAAGTATAGGACCCTGCACTGAATTCCCAACTGAATTTTTAAGGACAGCACTTTTAAAGCAGTTGTGGTGCCTGTGTAACTGAGTTCCCAGTGTTTGAAAGCCTGCTGTTGAGGATGTTTGGGTAACAGACATGTAAAAAAATCCCTCTAACTGCTTGTGCTTACATCTTTTTTTAAAAAAGAAAAAGAAAAAAATCACGCCGTGTGGCTGTACAGCCCTGCATCTCTTCACAAATACAAACTTCATGAGAGGTCAATTAATTAAGCCATTCCTTTGTGTCAACACAGGGTCTTCTTGCTCTGGGAGACTACATGAATGTCCAGTGTCATGCCTGCATTGGAGGGACCAACGTGGGTGAAGATATCCGAAAACTCGATTATGGGCAGCACGTCGTTGCTGGCACTCCAGGCCGTGTGTTTGGTAAGGAGATGTGGGAGGATACGTCACCTCCAGCTTCAGACCTCTGTTGAGCCGTGGGAACCTCCTGGAACTTTTATGTGCTTAGATTTGATATAATATAAAAATTATATTTATCGTGATGCCATTTGCAAGGTAACAACATACTGTAGTAATAGCTGGGGGAAAAAATAGGAAGAAATCAATGGGGATAGCATTTGGATTTTCTCTGCTTATGTTTTGCTTTTCATTGTTAAGGTGTTTGTATAGTGGCATGGAAACAAAAAGTATTTTTGTAGAAGAAAACACTACAATCCCAGGAGATACTTCAGAATCTTGGAAGAGATAGAAGCCAGGTCCTCTTAAATGTCCAAGTTCCACTTTTTCTGTGTACTTGCCATCTCTTTGTTAAATCAGGTGCACTTGCAGCTGGTACTTTCTGCTTTCATTGTATGAAGATTATATTTACTGTTCATGCCAGTTACGACAGTGACAGCCTTCAAACTTATATCTGTATCTCTGAGAAACAGGCAGCACTTTCTTACACCAGCACTTGTCACTGGGAAAACATAGAGCTAGTTTGCACAAGTGAAAAACCAAAAAATTAGCAGCTGCCAAACTGGACTGGCTTTGGACAGCACTTTAATAGCAAATACATTTCTGTCTCGGAGATCGCACAAAGCCATGGGCTCCTTCGAACAGGTTGTGGAATTGCCCAGTCCGTTGACAGAAAGTTCATGTAGAATTTTGCATTTCTCACATCCAGATGCCATTAATAGGGGTAGGCTGGGTTGCCTGTCCTGTGCAGTTAGCAAATAGCATCCCATGGCTTGGACACTCGGAGCTTCCCTGCATGCAGCGGTCCCTTAGTCAGGCTGCAGGGGCATCCCCCTTGGTGGCAGGGTGCGGTGGACATGCTGCGGCCCTTGGATGTGCCTTCCACTGCCAGACACCAGTCTCTGTTGGCAACAGGGCAAGTGCCTGTCTGCTCCACCGAAATGTCCTGGCAGAGGCTGAGAGCAGTGTAGGCCTGCTTGCTTTCAGAGCCTTTTCATCTTACAAATTGAAATCTTACAGATATGATTCGTCGTCGAAGTTTAAGAACTCGTGCCATCAAAATGCTGGTTTTGGATGAAGCAGATGAAATGCTCAATAAAGGTAAAAAAAATTGTCTTCCTTTTACATCTTTTTTCCGCTCTTTGAGATTCCAGGGTGTTCCAACTGGCAGTCTTGCTTCTAAAAACAATTGGGTTTGCTAGCTGGAACAGTTAAACTATTTACTATGCTGTGTCTGATTTAGTTGAAGTGTCCGTTTCAATAGTTACAAATTCTTGAGCGCTGCCTTTCGTACTTCACTCTGTACCGTGGCCACATTGTAGTGGGTTTGGGAAAATGAGGACGAGATGAGCAATAATGTGACACTGGCTTTGAGTTACTAATTCACTCATTAATGTTTATATCGTAGTGTAGGCCTAATACTGAATTCCGGATCAAATTGTGAAAGAGCAGGATATTTGGGAGAAAGATGTGAAAACTGTTCTGTGCTACTTGATTTGTTTTTCAGGTTTTAAGGAGCAGATTTATGATGTGTACAGATACTTGCCTCCAGCTACACAAGTGGTTCTGATCAGCGCCACTTTGCCTCATGAAATTCTGGAGATGACCAACAAATTCATGACAGACCCCATTCGCATCCTGGTGAAACGGTGAGTGAGTTTCCTTGGAAAGAACAGGAGGTCTTTGAATTGGTCCAGCCCTAGGAGGTTTACAGTATTAACTGATTTAAATGTGCAAAGTCTCTCCTGCATTCCTTCCCACCACTGCAATTTGCCTGGGTGTTTGCAGACATCCTCGTGTCTTGTTTTCCAGCAGAGGTTGACTCATCTCTCTGCCTGTATCCTTGTCCAGTTCTGCTTGCTGCTGCTCAGCCCAGCTGCCCCTTGCCCCCTCAATCCTCCCATGTAGAGCAGTCTCTTCTGCAGGAAATCTTGCCCGCCTACCCAGTTCCTGTGCTCCTCCAAAGGATTTTTGTAGGACTTCTCCATTAACCTGCCATTATATAGCAAGCCAGAAAAGCCTTCAGCTGACTGATCCTGAATGCCCTCGGGGGTGTAGCTGGTGATATCAGAGGTCCTCATGCACCAGAACTCAGCAGGAGTCAAGAAGAGTGAACAGAGGCAGCCTGAGAGGAGGAGCCTCCCTCTTGTCCGGTTTCTTACACTGCCTCTTTTACCTTTATTCAGTCTCATCAGAAGCTTGAGTGTAAAAAGGTCAGAAGAGAAATGGTTCCCATTGAAGCTGTTTGTCTAGAGTACAGAGGATGCCCCAGTTCTAGTCTCTGTTGCATGGTTCACATTTGAGGCCCTTCTTAGAGCGGGATTCTCCAGGGACTTTCTAGAACAACTTAGACTTGTGTGTAGGCCCAGCAGCTCAGCACACAGGGCAGAGGTGTGATTTCCACTGAAGCACATCCAGCCCTTTTAACTGCGTTGTACGTATTCACCTACTTGTGTGGTATAACTGTTGTTCTTCTCTACAGTGACGAGTTGACCCTTGAAGGAATCAAGCAGTTTTTTGTGGCTGTGGAGAGGGAAGAATGGAAGTTTGACACATTGTGTGATCTCTATGACACGCTCACAATCACCCAGGCTGTCATCTTCTGTAACACCAAGAGAAAGGTACAGCAGCCATCAGATGGGTGTGTTACTTTCTGAGGGTGGCTCAGAGGAGAGTGCTAGGATAAACCCAGCTAGGAAGACTGGTTGTTTCCCTGTTGGGGAACAGTTTAGTAAGAACCGAGGTTAAACATTTGGTTTGGGGATGCACCTAGCTTGAACAACTGGTTATAGGCAGACCTGATAGAGTTGGCCAGAATTTTCTTTTTAGAGAGGTAGAACTGATTACATAAGAATGTGCTTATTCTAATCATTTATAATCCCTCAAATGAAACTGCACTTTCTGAATAAATGCCCTTAATTCCTTTCCTTTCAAGGCTCATGGAGCCACATGTAATGTAACAGATGCTTTGCAAAGATTGTTTACTTCCCATAGCTCCAGAATGGTTGTTGAAGTGTCTCTCAGTCCTTACCAGCATACGTCTCTGAAAGCATTTTCCAAGCATGGCTAGTACATTTGGCTGTCCTGAGCAAAGTGCTAACCCAGGCTGCTTGGCTGTCTGCACAGGTAGACTGGCTCACAGAGAAGATGAGAGAAGCCAACTTCACAGTTTCGTCCATGCATGGGGACATGCCACAGAAGGAGAGAGAGTCCATCATGAAAGAGTTCAGATCTGGTGCAAGGTAAGTGCCTTAAACAGTGGTGCTTACAGAACTGCTACACCAGGGCAGGATTTCTTCCAGCACCTGAAGACAGCAAGCCTCAGAAGCCCATAATACCTCTCCTCTCTGAAGGCCTTGTTCAGCTCAAATTATGAAGATCTCTGATACCCTCTGTGATGTTGCAGGATTTGAAGATGGCCCCTTCCCCTGGACGGATGCTCATACTTCTAGGCATAGAATTGGTCTGTTATTTTGTTGAAGAGGGTGGGATTTGCTACATAGAAGTTAAGTCAAAGATGGGAAATACTTGGGGGGCCAGTTAGCTCAGTCGGTTGGAGCGTGGTGCTGATAACACCAAGGTTGTGGGTTCGATCCCCGTTCGGTCCCCATGTGTTGCCTGATCTAGTTGAGAGGCGTCCCTGCCCGTGAGAGGGAGGTTGGATTTGATGATCTCTAAGGTCCCTTCCAGCCTAGGCCATTCTATGATTCTGTGATTTTAAAATGCCAAGCTTCATATTCTTTCTGAAAGATCAAAGCTGTCTTGTTACTACCTGCCTTCACTGAAGTTTGGTGATTGGACAGCTTTCCTTGCAGCCAAAGTGTAGTATGGGCAGGGAGGAACACAGAGTAGCAGGGGATGATGCCCTCCACTGGAGACTCTTGATTTCTCAGCTTTCACACCCACCTCGGCTGGGTGGAACACCTATAAATTTCCCTTTCTCTTTGCAGCCGAGTCCTTATTTCAACAGATGTTTGGGCTAGAGGCCTGGATGTTCCCCAGGTGTCCCTCATCATTAACTACGACTTACCCAACAACAGAGAACTCTACATACACAGGTAAGCTCAGCATTCAGGTGGCTGGTTTATTCTTCCTCAACGTGGCTCCACTCTCTCTTTCCTTCTGCCTCCACAGAATTGGCCGGTCAGGCAGATACGGCCGAAAAGGTGTAGCGATCAACTTTGTGAAGAATGACGACATCCGGATCCTGCGAGACATCGAGCAGTACTACTCCACCCAGATCGACGAGATGCCCATGAACGGTGAGTGCAGGCCAGGCACAGCAAGGCTGCTGCCCTCCTCCAGTTGGGAACTGGTGTGCTGTAGCTGAAAAAGAAATGCCAGATGCTTTCTTTTGCCACATGCCTCGTTCCCAAGCCTGACTCATCTTTGCTTCCCATGGGGAAGAACCTGGGAACAGCAGTAGGCACACTGTGGCTCTCCACACAGCGTGCTTACTTATATACTCGTATTTTCTCTCATTTCAGTTGCTGATCTTATCTGAAGGTCCACGTTTACCAGGGAGTTGTACTGTTTGGTAGCCTCCGTAATTCTGTTTTGGACCCACATCCTTTTATCATATTGCTGGTCATATGTCCTTGAGTCGAGCTGCCCTTGGGAACTTGTGTAAATAATGTCTTTGCTCCCACCCATGTTTTTCAATTAAAAAAAAGGAAGTTTTACCAAACCTGTGTTTAATTACTGTAGCCCAATAACATAATAGGCAGGGAAGTTTTAGATAACACCATACTTGGCTAGCACAGTATATATCTAAGTTCCTAAACTACAGGGTTTCCTGTTCTCCACTCTTTCATTATCACTGTGCCATGCTACCCGATGTACTTTTAGTTTCCTTAACTTGACTGTAAGGATCAGCCATCTACAGGAAAAATCTGTGGCCTAGCCCAGTCTAAGAAAATTACAAGACAGCCAAAAAACAAACTTCCTGTTGTTTATACCTTTCTGGAACCAGAAATCACATCACTCAGTGCTCTGGATTACTATTTCTGCCTCCCAAGCAGGCACTTGCAAGGGTGAGTGCCACTTTACCTTAATGCCAGCTGGAGAAATATGTTCTATCAGTATTGCCTGAAGTAAGAGAAAGAGCAAGTATCTTATCTTGTCACCTTTTCCACCCCCTTCTGATGCCGAGCTCCAGCTCCCCAGGCAGCTCGCGTAGCTCACCCTTGCACACACCCACTGCTAATGCCTCGAGACAGCGAGGAGAGGGGCAACCAGCCCCTTTTATCCCCTTCATTGGTTATTTCCCACACTTCGTTCTCTCAAAAATCACCTTGGCCCTTCCCTTTTCCTACTTTTGATCCCTCCCACAACATCAGGGGGAGTTTTCTGCATAAATTCTGCAAGTTCTGGCCACAGTGCTTAGGAGCTCTTCCCCCCTACACACCTTGTTTCAGTCCTCTACCAGAAGGGTAGAGCCTGGATAAAGCTTTCCAACTTCCCTGTCCCCATTCTGGACAGAGTTCTGCTCTCAGCATCACTGTGGGGTAAGCAAGGCACAGCCCAGCCTCAACATATTCCTGGCAAACACAAGAACCAAAGGCCAGCATGGCCCTCCAAGTCCTTTATGTCACTCCAGTCATTTGACTAATAAAGAGATTCATCACCAAAGCATTACATTGTTTAAATAACAGTATTTAATCTGTACAGTTTGAGAGAAGGTATCATAAAATGCAACATTCCTACCTCATCTTCAGCATCATTCACCTGGAGCTGAGCCCTCGTCTCCAGAGGACAGGTAACCACCACTCCCCAGCAGTTATGGTACAAAAGTCACAGTGCAATTGCTTTAATCCTAGGCAAGATGATTTCCCTCACTCAAGAGAGGTGAGACTGATGAAGCTCAAACAGTGATGGAAATTTTTACCATTTAGGAATGCAAAAAAAGAACCCAGCTATTGCACACAATCTGAAACTACAGCAGTTAATTATTTAGCTGCCTTTACACTCCACATATCTGAAAATGCCTTAGTTGATACTGATTTAGTCAAGAGTGAAAACAGAGCCGGTAACAAGATTTCAGAATGATACAGCTGTTGGAGGGCAGAAGCTGACAAGCAAATAAGTCAAGAAACGTGCTTTAGAATACCAGAAAGCTTTCCTATACAGGGAGGGGATATGAGCTAGACAGATGTCATCTTTCAGAGACCAGCATGAGAGGAAAAACAGCTTCAATAGAAAGTTATAAAGTACAATAGACAATTTCTTCATATAATTGTCAGGATAAGTATTTGACATAGTTTATGTAGTAGAATACATACTCAAACATCTTTTAAAAATAAGCACGAATTTCATTTCATATATACACAACTGATTTTTAATCATGTACTGAAAATAAATTACAGGAAATAACTTTAAAATGCAACAGAAGACAAGAGTTTCACAACAAACATTCCCATTGATTTTCCCAAGGGGGTGAGAGATTGCAGTGCTCAAGGCAGGTAAATATCACAAATATATCAAAAAACTTCAAATTTTTGATGCATTCACACATTTACATGAGCCACAAACATTCCTTTACAGGGACTGCACTTAGCTACCACGGAACCAGGTTTTGCCATAAACTACAAAACTTTGATACAAAATCGTATTTATATATTTATATTTCATATACATGCCCTATCTGTGATTTCTTAAAAAATAAAAACTAAACACACTGTACAGACAATCCTAACTCATTGCTTGGTAGCTGTAGGCAACGTTTTTTTGGATGGAATTCCTCCCCCAGTAGAATTAATGGCAATATTATATACATGAAGGCTAAACTGCAGAAAAAGACAGCTCAGTTCTGATATGCACCTCCCTCAGGACCAGGTCTGTGGGTTCAAGGCAAGACACCACCATACGCTCTGACCCACTGCCTCCCTTACAAGTCAGTTCTGCCGCTGGCAGCATGAGGAACCAATACATGCATTTGTGTAACACTGGTATAAAAGGCAATAAAGCAAGATACATATTGTAATGTAGTGGCTCTAACAGCTTCACCAACTTGATACACCTGATTCACAGAAACACTCCAACATTAGAGGGGGCAAGGGAGTAGGGTGGAGCCAGGTACGTCTGGCGAGAGCACGCGTGATGTGGGACTGACCATTATACTTCCCTGAAATTGCCTCTTGCAGAGGACAGATTCCCACTGTAAGCCAGAGACTGCATCAACTCAGACACTGGGGGAAGATCCCTCCCCTCCACCCCCCCACCCCCCC